TGTATATATATATACATACTTTTTTCATTTGACACTTTTCCTTGTTTTGATCATGATAAAGAAATGTATCCGTATTGGGATTGATTATTACGTGGTTCTTTAATGCCTTTGTCCTCTGTGCACTTTGAGTATTTTGACTTACTATCTTGATATTGATTAAGCGGTTATGAATAAAGCAAACAAAAACAATCATTGCCGTCTTTGTGGTTGCGACTGCATGGCATAGCAGACATGGCTGCACATTAACAACTATTACTGGTAAAAAAAATATACGCATTTAATAAAGGCTTTCTCAAGAAAACTGTTTCTTAAAGAACTGTGATTATTACTCAGATTTTATTTATTGTTTGTGACTGAAATCAACACAGTTACTGCATGTAATCATGTTTTTCCTTAAATGTAGCAAGAAGGGGCTGCAACGTACTCATAGTTTATTATTAACAACAAGCGGAATCTTTGCTTTTCTTTAAAAGAGAAAAGCAAAGATTCTGAATAAAGATACAATCCTGCTATTTATCCCGTACCTGGTCTCATTCTTACACAATGTTTATTTTTTAAATGGGTGTAAACTTGTGATTTTTTTGTTTACTGTGGACTTTAGTATATAATATCGGAAACAAGATAAATTCTCTAGAAAACAATCGTTTGAGAGCACATAGCCAAGAGATGAGTAAGTCTTCTGCTAGAGGCCTGTGTAATGAATCCATCATCAGATGGGCCTCTTCAGCCATTCACTCTATTGGCTTTAGGCTCGTCATTGTTGATGCAGTTTTACACAGCGTACATTCCAGCAGGGATGTCATTTTCCCACAATACTAAATGGGCATGAAGCATTCATTCGGCGCATTCAGTCGTCCTCTTAGATCCATGTGTGAAAAGACTGACAGAGAGAAACATTTAAGGACTCTCACCGTAGAATCTATTTTTCCAAATTGACTTGAATAAACATTAATACAACACACATTAGACAGATAATAAGTAACATCGCATTTGTCTGGGTTTGTACAAATCGATTTTGTCCAAATAATGACAGATAAATGTTTATCGCCACAATAAAAACTTAAACTTCAGAGACTGCAGTTGAAAAATATTTTAACTATTTCTTTTTTTTTTTTTTTTTTTTTTACTACTTTTACCAAACTGGGGGATTTCTGGTCCTATGGAGTTGAAAAAAAACCCACTTCATCCTACTAGTGTAAATGCCTCAGTCATAGCCATGACGTACTCCTTTTTTTCCTCCAGAGTGCCATTTAAAACATGTACAGACAGGAATAGAATGGCAAGCTACAACTTGTCTAAATTCTACTTTTTTGATTCTGGAATCAGTTAAAATTTAGTTTTTTACTGCATTAGTGAAGAGATCAGCCCCCCCAACCGAATGTATGTGACGTATTGTGATGAACGGTTGTACTGAAACTAAAATTTCGAATACAATCTAAATTGTAGTTGAAAAAAAAGAAGTTTTGATTGATTGAGATGTGTGAGAGGCAAAGCCAACCCACCCAGTTTACTTCTCAAATCATAAAAATGTTTTACCTAAAGAAAGATGGAAGGAAAGCGTTATCTCTCTTTTCATATTTTGCCATCCGGTTTTCTTTCATTAATATAATGGAAATAAAAAAAAAAATAAAAAATCTTTTTTTTTTCTTTTTTCCTGATATTCATCTTTCTCGCATACTCAATTAGATTAATGTAACAAAATAGTGTAATTGTTATAACTGTTATTGACTAAACACACTGTAAATAAAAAAAAAATATATATATATATATATATAGTTTATCGTCAGATAAATGGTTTATGGTTTTGCTTTTAAGATCCCTTTTCCTGCCTGAATGCTGAATGACTCATAGGTCAGTTTAGTGGCTTAACAAAGAACAACCTCATTCATAAGAAAATGTTCAGCTTTAGTGGCTTTAACTTATCATAATATACAGTAGAACAGTTTCCTTTCCTGTTCTTATGCTTTATGGAGTAACTCAAGTTTAGCAGCCTGACGTTAAGATTTAACACAACCATACCGTAGATCACTGTCCGTCTCTTTGCAACCAGTTTATATTCTCTGACAATCTCTGTCAAATATTTTTGTAGGTTTTTGTTTTATAAACCAGGTACTTTTGTACATCTCCACTCCAGAACTTTCCTCAACATCTTAGAAGAATTCAATAATTTTCAAACAAACCTTTTTAAAGCCTTGGTACACACCAGAGAGACAACTGGCTAAGCAAACAGGTAATTGAATGTAAATTATTATTATTATTTTTTTAATGGATCAGAATTAAAGAGACAGTATTTCGCTTTTTGGTTGATTAGATGATCTCTGCAGCCCTTGTTTGCTTCTGTCTGGCTCTGACCTGTTTTATTGGTGACTTTAAACCTTGTAGAAAAGACGGACTCTACAAAATATGACCAGAAGCTTTTTTGTAAGGTTTTATTTCTTAAATTACTGCAGGACATACAGTCTGAACTGGACCTGTTTGCAAACGGTGTCAGTGTGACGCCCTTCACAAGCGATCCACAGCAGAATTGAGCTGAATTGAATAGACAGTGTCATGGGGGGGGTGTTCTGCTTCCTGTTCTCTGGAAGTTCACCAACATCTCCACAGTCTTGATCTGATGAAGCTCCAGCTGGTTCTGATTTTCTGCAGAATTGAGGCAAGCAAGCAGAGCAGACTTGGTGCATTTTCCACTTTGCTCAGTGGAGATCAGCTGAAGATACTTGGTGTTTTTTTTTAAGGCAGGTTTTTACATTAGCAGTTGGCTTAGAGGTATTATTTATTACAATCAGATGGTGGGAGATGGGATGACGATCTAACCGGTTGAACTCAGAAGGTTTTAGAACTAAATTCTGCCTAAAGTTACCGTATACAACAGTATACAACAAATTTGCAAATTTCACATTACAGTAAGTTAATATTATGTGTTGCTGGATGATTGGCATCCATTCAGAAAGATTATTTTGATGCAAATGTCCATAAAAAGAGCCTGAATACATTGTTGGTCACTCCTTCCTGTTTTCTGTCCTCCCTTCAGGACTCGGCTGGAGTCTTATCAGTTCATTTCGTGATGCCATGGTTTCTCACTCTCTTCACTTCCCTGCCCTGCTGGGACTCTGTTCTGGCTGTCTGGGATCTCATCATATTGCAAGGCAAGTGCTGCACATACACACAAAAAAAACAAAAACGAAATAGAGACCAAATACTGAGAGCATCTTTGTTGGGTTTTCATATTTGAATAGAAAAAAAATCCTATTTTAAAGCTGTAATTGAGGATTTAGTTAAACTATGTGAGAATACAGTATAGTATATATTTATACTGTATATAATTCTTTAGTTGGAGTTTTTAGATTCGTTTTCTTTGTGCTAAAAGCCTAAAGCCTGAACACCTAAAGATAATTTTTATCGTTCTTGTTTAAAAGGCTGATGCAGAACATTAAGGGGATCCATGGCATTCACAGGCGTAGTTAATATATATAAACGTAAATCACCATGTTTTTTTTTCTCCGCTTATTATTGTCATTACACTGTCACAAGTACAGAGCAATAAAATTCACTCTCTGCATCTAACCCATCCCCTTGGGGAGCAGTGGGCTGCCATCGTGGGGCGCTTGGGGAGCAGTCTGGGGTTAAGGGTCTTGCTCAGGGACCCAGAGTGGCAGTCTGTGGGAATGGAGCTCGAACTCAGAACCTCTGGATTCCAAGCTCTATGCCCGATCCACTAGTCGGCAGGAGAAGGATTATGTCACCGAGATAAACTTGTTTTAGCACAAAACATGTGAACAAACCTCAGAACAAAAGCAAATGAGGTTATTTGGTTGCTCCCCAAAAGGCACTCAGAGAGGAAGAAGCCACTACTGAAGGAGCAACTACTGAAGATTGCGTTTTTCATACATTTAAAAGCTTTAATATTTACAGACACTGAACGTGTTATAGCTCAGAAGAACACCTTCCATGCATCTTTGAGGCCCATTATCAAAATATTCAAGCCGGGGAGTGTATGTATACAGGGTTTCCGTGGCTCATTAAAAATCTTTAAAAGTCATTAAATTCTTTTTTTTTTTTTTATTAAGGCCTTAAATGGCATTAAAATTCATTGAATGTGATTATGGTGGTATTTTAAATGCTTTATTAAAAAAAATGTATAAAAACTATTTTGTCAGATATAACATGTTCTGCATCTATCTGTCTGTCTGTCTGTCTATCTCTCTAACAATTCTATCTCTCTATCTGTTCTATCTCTCTATCTATTCTATCTCTCTATCTATTCTATCTATCTCTCCATATCTCTCTGTCTGTCTGTCTAAAATTGGAGTATAAATCCTGGTATAGTTTTTAACCTGCCCTGTTCTGTTATCTTTAGTGACCTAATTTTTTCTCTGGTTAGGTTTACCAGCCGTTTTCCGTACGGCTTTGAGCATCATCGAGCTTCTGGAGTCTCGACTAATGGAGCTGAAGGATGAAGGAGCAATATTACCACTGCTGTTAAGAGTACCTGTAGATGTGTAAGTAACATTTATCTTGTTATAGAATAAAACAAACCTGGAGACACGATCTGCATTTTGTTCTCCTTAGAAATGATGTGGCCTTAGAAACTCGTCCCAGAACACATTCATGAATAATCCAAAGCATCACGTCGTCTTTAGAAATCTGCAGCAAAGTTTCTAGGCTCAACTCTAAATAAATCCATAGGCATCTCATGAATATCAATCGCAGTGTCAGAACTTTTTAGATGCTGAACTCTCTGGAAAAACCAGGCTGCCCATGTTTTTGGAAAGATGTCTTTTTATTTTTTTTTTACAAGCTTGGATAAAAAGTCCTTTTTTAATGAATTGGTTCCTCCAATGGAGCCAATGCTGCTTTCTGTCTTAGTCTTCCATTTCTTGTGATGCTGAATACAAGTATCACGTGCCAACAGACATGGTTTACTGACATGGAGCTGTAGTTATGGCAACATGGTAGTATCACTGGTTTTGGTTTATTGGCATGTGTTTGTGCATGAGGAATGTATGCATGGCGTTCTTAAACATGTCCCCTTAAGAAGCTTGTTTAACCTATGTACGTTTGTTTTTCTGCAAAGATCCAAGCGTTAGTAACTCATGCAGAGAGGTAAAGTAAGGCCTTTTCATAAAATCGTTAGGATATCCCTTTGCAGCTGTTTGACCTAAAATGTCACATTAAGCCACCGTAATTATGCAAATATTTTCTTTATCCAAAGGTCAGATTTTAATCCATGTGTGAACCTCTTCTGCTGTTTGCTCATGCATGAATTAAGGCAACCATTGACAAACCCGTTTTGTTCTAGCTCTGGTTTTCAGTGGGCTGACTGCCACCGATTCACAGTGAGAAGTCATTGTTGCCTGCTTGGCATTGTTGCAAAAGGTTGGTCAGAAGTCAGCACTAAGTGGTATGGCCGCCCCCCTAGGCAGGATCTCCTTACACTGGGAAGATCCTGGGAGTAGAACAGAATGGTGAAGGAAAAACAGGTTAAGTGCTATCGGGTCAAAAAGCAGCAAGGAGATAAGACACAGGAAAAAGACTATCTTCAGTGTGAGCGCTATTTTTCCTCATCTCCTGCTCGGTCCCATTTTCTATCTAACATTAAGATATGCCTTTTTGTTGTGCAAAAGTGCTGTGCACTAAAATAATATCAATAATTCACGAGAAGCTGCAAAAACATGTGGCCTGAAATGCAATTTGAGGCATCAGCAAGTTTTAAGCATTGTAGATGGAGAAAACATTTCTAAGAGTCACATTGATTTCAGGTTTGTATCAAACATATTTACAGTTCGAAAAAAAATTAGCAAATTGGAATTACAAAGTAATACAAAATGATCTACAAACCCGTCAATTTCTATCTTCATCTATTATTCATTACCTATAACATATTTAATATTCTCCCCTTTATAAAGTTTGAAATATTTTCCTTTTTTTTTACCCTAAAGAAAACCAGATTCTTTTAGGACCTGATATTTTTTACCCAATTCAGTTCTATAAATACTTTGTTCTGGAAAGGAACAAATGTTACCAGATTCTAGAAACGGATGAGGATGTGATAATCTCATATTGATAAATTTCTAAATAGATTAAATTTACCACAGATGAGAGAAGAGCAAAATAATTATTTGGTGTCAGACATATCGAGACGAAATAAACCAAGCAATTTCACTCAAATGTAATAAAAGCCTGGGGGCAGATGGATAGATCGCTGAACACTGCAAAAACAATCTAGAAATAAGTAAAAATGTCTTAAATTAAGTGTATTTACCCTTAATTTGAGT